TTATTACTATTATTATTATTTGAAATCCAAAAAGAATGTTGAATTCTGTCAAATGTGTTCTGTACCCTATTTGATATAATGTCCTAATTTTTTCTTCTTTTGCTTATAATATGGTGGATTAGATTAATAGAATCCTAATATTGAATCATTCTTATGTTTCTTCATGGCGTATTTTTAAGAAGTACTGATGAATATTTTCTGTTAGTATATTAATACTGTTGCTTTGACACAGTGAGATTTCTATTCAGTTTTCTTTTTCTGAACTTGGTCAGGTCAAATGCTACACTGACTTTGTAAAAATAATTCAGAAGTGTTTCTTCTTTTGCTATTCTTTGAAAAGGCTTGAAGAGTGTCAGAATGCATCCCATGAAGGTTTGAAAGAGTTAACCTGTGAAAAAGTCTGTGCCTGATACATTTTTGGAAGATTTTCCTAGAAAATCAACTCTTTGATCCAATTATTCACAGTTATGTGTTTTGCAAAGTACCCTTGTGAATCCTTTCAGTTTCATCGGGATGTCATTATTTTCCTTCTAATTCCTAACTTTAAATATATGCCCTCTCTTCCCCCATCTTTTCCTCTTATATTGGCCAGTGGATTATCAATTTCATTGGTCAATTCTATGATTTTTGTTTGCTAATTTACACATTCCCGCTATTATCTTCACGGCTTCCTAATTCCATTTGTGAGGGGAAAACAGATATATAAAAGTAAGACGGGGGGGTGGGGAGGGGGTGAAGCGCGCCAGATTTAGTATTAAGGGTTGAGTGTGTGAGAGGAGCAAGGGGGGACGGGGAGGAAAGGTGAGGCGGAACAAAGGTGACTGGCAAAGGCAAAGAGGGAAGCTTTCCCGAGGCGGCGCCGGTGGAAACCACTCCCGCCCGGGCACCCGCCCGCCGGTCACCAGCTCTCCCTGCTCACCAGCCTAATGGTCTTCAGGGCTCCCGTGGGCGAGAAGAAAAAACGCTTGAAGCTGTCCCTGAATTTGGGCGGGACTTTGGCCCGGCCCTCAGCGCGCTTTTGTACGG